GGGGGGGGAAAGTTGAGAGTTGAGAGAGATGCATGGCCAATTGCCAATTGCCAATTCAATTGCAGTGCCCTGCATTAAGGGAATGCCAAACATGTTTACTTTTTCTTTTGGGCAAAATACAAAGAACTTGCTCTGAATTTTTTTGACAATCATAAAAACACCCCTCTTAAAATTTTACTTTAATAAAAGCCTCCCCTAAACTTTTGGAAAACTTTATGAATGTGAGCCAGATGGAAAACGTTCAACCGATGTATTAATTTTTTTCAAAATGACCATCCTACCCTTTTAAAGAATTCTTGAGCCCTGTTATCATTCTCGCAGGACATGAGAACGTCATTCCCGCTAATTGAAGGATTCTCAAGCTCTATTAGTGTGCTGCAGATTCTTTCTTTTTCACATATAATTTTATTAAAATAATCCTGATTTTAACTTGAAATAACCCATTTACCGTCCTTTTTCTTTACTCCATCAAGTCAAGAAGAGAGGTAGCATTGAGCCACCGCAGATTCTTTCACCCCTCAAGTTTTACGCCTCTAGTTTCATCTTGATAACGTGAAACCTAATCTACAAGGTGATAATGTAACTGCCTCCAATTTAAAAAATTTGCCCTCTCCCTCTCCCTCCCCCTCCCCCTTGTAGGCTATTGTTTCTTTCTTGCTCGCTTGTTATCCCATGTGTGGCCCTGTCTGCTAGTGCTAACGAATGAAGGAGAAGAAGGAGCAATACTAAACAAACTCTAGTGTAAATCCTAAATAAATATGAATTCTAACGTCCCAATCCCGCAGACTAGCACAGGGCTCGAGAATTTTTTAAAAGGGTAAGATGGTCATTTTGAAAATGCATCAATTGAACGTTCTACATCTGGCTCAGTGACGGAAGAGAGGTATGTGTAGAATTTTCTAAAAAATCAGGGACGTTTTTGTTAAAATAAAACTTAAGGGAGATTTCTTTGATTGTCAGAAACTTTAGGGGATGCTTTTGTATTTTAACCTTTTGCTTTTCTTTTTTTTTTTATGATGACCAAGCCACTACTCCACCAGAGAGCGGGGTATTGTTTCGTGTTCTGGGCCGGGTCCATACATAGGACTCCTCAAACTTGCCTTTTTGTCCGATGCATGATTGTGCATTACAAATATCATCTGGATGGGTCATACCCATTACACCATCTGGGCCCAATGTCATATCGTCCATACATAGATCCTGCAGGTCATTCGCATATGAATATGATGCATTCTTTTCATAAAAACGACAGTTGGGCTTTAAGGGCGGGGCCTTAAAATAGACCTTGAGTTTACTTTGTCAACTATTTGATTTCCTCAAACATGGTAGAGAGACCTATAATCTAACGTACACCCCCTGCATATTTTGATTTCTTAAAATTGATTTGGCACAGGCAGAATACCTGATTGATTAGTGCTTTGCATACGGGTCTGGTAGGATGTTAATTATCGGATCCGGACGGACCGCACAATTTGGGTTTTGCCTGAGTTTGTGGTGGGCACTGGCCAGTTGTGTGGGCCCATGGGCGTGGCCCCAGAGACCCAAGAAGCTGTTTCTTTGAAGGGAAGAGAGGAGATGCACATGCATTTCTTTTGTTTGTTGAAAAACAAATACAAAAAGATAGAGTTGGGTAAACTTTTTAGTTGTCAATCACAAATCACAAGTCACGATAAAAAGAAATCCCGTAAGGTTTAGTGAGTTGCATAAATAAATAAAACGCAAGTCGGTATTCAACAAATAATAGTGTTAATTTTTACTTTACAAGAACATGCTCTCTTTAGTTTAGACTTTATTATATAGAGACTGTAAAGTTAAAGCCTAAAGCCTACTATAGTATATACAACAACGCACTAATAGTTAGTGTTCGAATCTCCTACCCACAAGAACCATTACAATCGAAGATGGAGAATATCTCACTTATAACTTATTTGAGTATTATCATTTATGGAGAAATGTTTTTAATATACAGCTGTCAGCTGTAGTTATGTGTGGGTAGGAGAACTGAATTGGAAGAATTAATTGTTGGTAGAGATTTTGACTGGACAGGGGTGTAAAGTTGATGAGTAAAGAAATTTGTTGTTTTTCAACTATCATTCTAAATTGACATCATATCTGAAAAATTTGTGACCAATTAATCAATATCATTAACATCTTAACCAATGTGATGATATTTATAAAAATTCACGTGTGAGTTTTAATTGGTCAAATCTATTCTCATATCATATCTTTTCGGTATGGCATGCAAAAGAAGAGAAGAAAAAGCGAGCAAGGTTTAGCTGAATCCTTTAGCTGTAGCCGGCTGTGGAACCAATGACAAGGTTTCATGCCCTTAATAAATTACATGGGGCCTGTACCTTTTATAATGACGCCCATGAATTTATTACTGGTGTGGAACCTTATCATGAATAGCTAAAATGTTTAGCTAATCTAGATTCAAAAAAAGCGCATATATGAAGATTATGAGATAAGGCGCGTGGGCAATTGAGCCATTATGCTTGCAACTGCAGATTGGCTTCAGTGGATGAACCTTTCAAGCAAAAGCCTTTACAGCCTTGTATAAGAAATATTTCCATAATTCTGTACTTTATTTTATAGGGAAATAACTAAAACATGCATAGAGTCCACCCCGTACTTAAAAGGTATTCCTTAAAACCCACGACACAATCAAACTGGATCCAGGATCTTGCACGGTTCATGTCTTTTGAATGTATTGTCCAATCCGATCAGGTCTTAAAACATTGGCTAAAATTTTGAAAAATAAATTAAAGCATGTTCTGAGCCTCTGATTGGAATAATGGAACATGAGGATTAAGATGGGTGCATATATAACTTGAATGGTTTGGTTGTTCCGTGCAGGTCCAGATCCTTGCCTGAGCAGGACCAACATGTTTTGTAGGCTTGTAGTTGTAGCTGCGCCCCAACTACGTACACCCTAATTTCTCCAATCAAGTTAGAAGATTTTTTTTTTTAACTTTAACTTTATCGTTAATATGAATAAATATATTTTGTATTTCATCTTTTACTGAAATAAATACATTTGGGGTAGAGAGATGCTTTAAGGCATGGTTTTTAAAAACGAACCAGTGACCAAAACGGTCAGGGGTCCGGTTACCGATTCGAACGGTCCAATCGTTCGACCCGAACAGCTGGCCTGTTCTGATAAAAACTAAAAAAAATAAAAAATTGAAAAATGGTCAAAATCGTTTGAACGGTTTAAACGGTTAACCAGCCAGTTCAGCGGTTTGCTGACCAAAATCAATGATTTTTTGAGAAAAAGCAGTTTTGGAGGAAAATAGAACCGATCAAGTGACCGGTTTCTGGTTTTTCTAGTCCGGTTTTGAAAACAGTGCTTTAAGGGTTTATTATTATTATTATTATTATTATTTTGGTTAAAGGTTTAAGGGTATATCAGTCATCAAGCCTTCGTGATTTTATATAAAGGAGGTTTTAAGGGCATGCAAGTCAAAATTGAAGGGAGGTTTAAGGACTTTTCAGAAAATCCAGAGGTTTAAGGGAGACAAATTCGGTAATGTTTAAATGCTGCCAAATTCCGTGAATGGGAAAAAAACTCAAGATTTTTAAATCAAATTAACTACCCCCATTTAGAAAAAAAAAAAAAAGAAAGGATCAATTATTTAAAGTAGCCCTAAGTAAGTTTATAAAACGCACTTAAAATACACCTTAAATTTTAGAAATATGACGAAAACTACCCTCCATTAGTTAATAGTTATTGTCACATTCCATTTGCATTTGACCCCCTTTAATTTTTCGGAAACCTAGTTTTGCCCTCACCTTGTCAACACCCAAGTCTCTCCCTTTTTCAGTTTATGCAGTTTTTTTCTTTTAGAATAGCTGATATTTCTTCTCTATTCCAAATGTAAAATGCAGGGTTGATATGTCAAATTTATATTTGAATTTGAACCCACAAGTCACAAGTTCCCTCAATTAGTTTTTAAACATTATCCTAGCCAAACTCCAACTTATTGAACATTTAGTCAATCAAATTTGAATAAGAATTAAAATTTAAATTAAACCCAAATTCAAATATTAGAGTATTTTAGTTTAAGTATTTAAGCAAGACATACTGAAATTCAAGTTGGTTAGGTTCAATTGCACCCCTATTCGCACACAACATGATATGATATCGAAAGAGCTTTGACAAATTAAAATCAATCCCATAACCTTTGATGAATACCACATCCATGTGATTGCAGTAAATTTATCATACCGGGTACCGGCTGGTTGATTACAAGTTTTTTCGATACGATATGTCGATATCTGCATGCGCAATCCTTCATTCAAAATCAAACCATCTGCATTTGCATCACGAGAGCCACATAATAAAATGACTACACAATTAAACCATATAGTGTATGCATGCATATATTCAATCATGAGTGCTTTGACGGCCTCATCTGTCTAAAGTTGAGTTTGAAATCAAACTAACTTTAATTTCCAGGTTTTCCTATTAGTCTTAAAATTGTTTCTGTTTCGTGCTTAATAAGTTACAAATGTCTTTTCTGCTCCCTAACTAATGCCAAGTTGCCAACCTCTTAGTGATTTTCTTTTATATATATAATATATAATATGTGAACCCAGTTTAAATTAACTCCTGGTCAACTGTTTTCTCATGCGTCATGCCCACCGACAGCAACTCGGGCCACCATTAATTCTGTTTAAATAATTTCTTAGATTGTATCGGAATTCGGAATCATATTATAAGGTCAAGAATAATATGAAAATACAACATTAATCAATTCGTTTTGGTGGTTGTGATAAAAAGAAAGAAAGAAATAAAACAATGAGAATAATGGAGGAGTGGACGGAGCGGTTGTTAGGTCCATTGATTTGAAAAAGGTTTCGGGTTGGGAGTTTCCACCGAGTCTTTTTGTAGACTTGCTTAATTTCCTTTCATTGTATAAATTTGCAACCATAAATTGGATTCACAAATCCTCTGATATAGAATGGGGTTCTCTTAGTTTCTGGGAGGTTATGGCAAAACAAGAAATCCACTTGAATATCACATTATTATATTGCTTTCTGGTAGAGTACCGGAGTATAGGCTGCGTTTGGGGTCCAGTTCGCCCTAAATGGGCTGCCTAATAAGCACTTTTTAATAAGTGCTTATAAGACACACTTTTTTAGCATTTAGTGAGGTGCTTTTTTTATCAACCTTTTTCTTTAAAACATGCTTCTCATAAACGTTGAAAGCCGGAAACCATTTTTTTTATTTTTTTGGCTTGTTCAAATGGGTTTTTGGGTCCAAAAGAGGAAATAAAAAGTAAAAAAACAAGCCCGCTTGCAGCTTTTTAACAAAAGCAAACCAGCTCTGTGACTGAACTTTGAAGGAGAAGCCCTATCTAAGCAAAATAAAAAGAAAAAAAAAATGAAAAGGAAACACACACACACGACACATCCATTCGATTAGATGCCGAATGTACATATGCAAACACAAAGAAAACAGGCAATTGTGATGAGAAGATATCCCAATGGAGCACGCCCCTTTGGTTCGACTCACTAGACCACAGGTTATGCTTTTGAAAAGATATGCACCCTTGTGTCCGCCCGTGTGCTTTAACAATTAACACACGTACCTTCCCTGTCTTTTGATGTGCCGCCTCTTTCAAAAGAAAAGAAACAAACAACGGCTGCCTCTTATCTCTCGCTTTTCAGCTTTGCATCCTCTAAATATCTTTTTTCATTATACGCGACGGTGAGAGGAGTCTCAATTCTCAAAGTTATGTGACCGTGGAAACTGAGAAGAGCATTTCCTTCAGCCAGGAATTCTTCCTACAGTGTATCCTATTCAAAATCTGTTCAAGTAATTAAACAGCCATTGAAAAATAAAAAACCATAAACCCAACAAATCTGATAAAAAAGTAGACCTTGGAAATTGCACCAACTTAAACTAATGAACATTAAAATCAAAATGTTTCCAGTGAAAATCAAAGAAGAATTGTATATCATGAAGTGATGGGTGAAAGAAGATTTTTGATTCCTGAGGCCAGATAATAATCAGTTCCAGTGAATAAGCAAAATCTCAACGGGCTTTGCTCTTTTTCTGATCCTGGACTTGAGATGCAGCACTTATCTTCTTCCAACACCTAATAACTATGAGTAAGGGTATCACACTCCAGGAGGCATTTGCTGCAATGTAGTATGCATAGTAATAGTATGGGCTTGCAGCAAAGTTGTCACCTTCCAAGTAAGAAGCAATGAAATAGACTGCAAGTCCATAGAGCTGGCCTAACGAGATTGCAAATTGAAGTATGAAGTTATATGGTTTTTTCGTTCCAATAGCATACCTGCAGAGTCATAGAAATTTTAAACATTAAGGATTTCTTATAAAGTGAATTATATATGATTTCTTCTAAAAAAATTTGATCCAAACAATGCCCAACAAAAGTAAAAGAGAAACAAAGGGTAAAAGATGAATATGCCACTTGAAGATTGAAATGGCAGACCCAGACCATCCATATGATGGGAAGAACCTCTGGAAAACCAAAACCGTTTCCTCATCCGTGTCAGCCACATAGTCAATAAGCGCCCTTGATTTTTTTTTCTTTTAAGCTTTATTTGAATAAATGACGGTGAAAAAGAAAAGGAATCCTGTCAATTAGAACAGGCCTAGAGGACAATCCAGCTGAAGCTCAACATGGAAAGAGGGTTGCACAAGGGACCACATTGAACCATTTTACACTACAACCTCTGAAAATTACCTACACATACTATTCCAAGATTGGTCTGTCCAAACAGCAAAAGGGCCACCACCCAATGTTAGTCCAAGATATCTAGGGTCTTGGAAGGGATGACCTTTGCAAACAACAAAACAAGCCTGAGAAGAAAATAAAGGAGATGATACATTCCACTCATGCACTCATGGACAACCAAGTCTGGCTCATTGCCACATTTCCAATTGATCGTGTTGCAGAATTAATTCCAATCATGACCCAATCTCATTGCTTCCATTGCCTGCCTCCTGTACCCCCCCATAGATCAAAATGAACATTGAAATCTGATCACTCAAGGTATGTTTGGTTTGATAGAAGATGAGAGTGAAACGGAAAGTTGAGTGCAAGTTCTCAAGGAAAATTGCGAAACTCCTTGAAAACTTTCTCTGAACTTTCTGTTTCTCTTATTTTCTGTCAAACCAAACATGGCCCACAGGTAAGCCTAGGTTTCTAGATTATTTTTATGAGTAGCCATGCCCTCCATTTGCTATGCATTTGCATTAACAAATCCTGAACCAGTTCTTATAGGCTTATACTGCTTGGGAAACATCTCTGTAGTCTGTAAAAGAAATTTTACAATGCAGAGAAAAGATACAACCTGCTTACCAACTCAACCATGTTTTATTGCACAACATGACAAGGTTAAAATAGAAACATAACACCATTAGATGATAAATGAAAACTTAAGAATCAGCAGCAAACATAAAATAATAATAATAATAATAATAATAATAATAATAACAATATAATAATAATAAGAAGAAGAAGTAGAAGAAGAAGAAGAAGAAGAAGAAGAAGAAGAAGAAGAAGAAGAAATGCTTAAATGATACTTGAGTTTGGGTCTTACACAGCTAGAAGACTTGCTGGACCCTCTAGAACTGCAGTGATCCCTTCAACAGCAACAACACCAGCATCCCTTGCTGCATATCTTGAATCACCTTTACTATATTCTTTCCCTGACAAGAATTTTTCCAACATTATGGGTAGAGAAGTCATAGATTAGAGGCCACGTAGCTGTCAAAATAAATAAATAAAATCTTGTGGTCACTTATGAAAGTTGGAAAAGTAAAGAGCTCACAAACTTCTGCCAGGTAACAAGGAGTCTTCTCCTTGTAGAATTCAGTAGAGAAAGCAAAATAACCCTCAAGGATAATGTGGGTCAGGCCTGTAAATGCCCACCAGCACATGAGCAATCTATCAATCTTGGATATCTTGGGTGCCCGACCTAGAGTAAGCAAAAAGTCAACAAAGTAAATGAGCTCAAAACTATACTAACATCTTCTAATTGTTAGCTAGTCAACAACCTAGAAAAATAAAATAAGACATTTCAAGCCCAGCTAAGATACAAAATAAGTTGCATTCAAGCTGAAACCATATTTTGAACTTCATAAACTATAAGTAATGGCCTATAACTTCCAAGAAATAAGAATACAATCAATCTTCAAAATCCATGACACTTCAAAACAAATTGTGTGGATATAGCTGCTCAGTGCAATCCTAAATATCCAGCTAGTATAAAGAAAAGCCAACTTACAAAACTACCTTAACCATTATCTTTTTCAGATCATTTTCATGCTAAGGAGTAAGGAGTTATAAAGAAATTTCTCTATGGTGGTTCATCATTGTCAACTTTATCCCATACTTTTGGATCATTACAGGGGGGGCTAATCATCATGCCAGGCCTAATCAGGCTGAGGTTGCCCTGGCCCAAGGTTCAAACTCATGCTTTAGTTCAGGCCAGGCCTGGACACAAACTAATTGCTTGGTGTTAGACCCAAGATTGAGACTAGCACGATCTCATACTTTGGGCCTTGGGCTGGCCTGAACTCAAGGTACTAATACATTTGACATACAAATATGCAATAAACAGGTCTGCTGGTCATGCCATTTAGTGAAGAAACCTAAACAGGAATCATCCATGTGACAAATGAGTTGGAACTCAAAGGGACTCCCCATGTTCCTCTCCTCGATCTAAATTAATGGAAATATTTTTTGCCTAAAAGACCTTGTCATATGATCTCGATAAGTCCATCCTTATGAGTAACTTTACTGTTAAAAGTTGAAATTTTAAAAGGGCTATTATTAATCAAACAAAAACTCCTATACAAGGTTGGAATGGTGCTGACATGGACAGCAGGATTTAAAATATCACCAATCCAAGAGGATAGGTGAATGGTCTAGATCAGCAAAAGGATACCTCCATGTGGCTAAATAGACAAATAAAGTAGGTCATGCTAATAAGCTCCCTACTTAACCTGATTAGAAATAACTTACAAACAAGCCCACTATGATTAATGTACAGGATATTGCTTATATTAGTACACATTATAAGTTGAACTGGGCCCAAACCAACCTAATCCCATTCCATACTCAGATTTGGACTTGTATTTTGGCCCAAGACCCTCTCAATGTTCACCCATAGTTATAAGAATTTTGTCCCTGTGTGTGTTTCCCGTTCTAATCCATCTAGGGCTGTATTTGATGTAAAAGAAAGCTATCAAATTGTTGTCCAGTTAAGTTACTGTTCATACACCTCAACATCCTTGCCAGTACACAGTCTGACAAGTCTTCTGGAGATCCCCTCCCCCCCCCCCCGCGGAAAAAAAAGTAAAAGAAAAAGTGTATAAAACACCATTGATGCATTAAAAGTCAAGCTAATCCTAGGATTTTTCTTTCCAGGGCTGATACTACCAGTTGAATGATGATTTGCATAACATTCTTCCAACTGCTATGGTTAATGGTTATGATTTCAAAATTTAAATTCTTAATAATGACTTGTAGATTGTAACAAAGACTGGTAGTAGCTACCCAACAAGCACCAGCAGGTAGTGGTGCCAGAACCAGGTCAAACACCAGCTTGTTTTGGCTGGCAGGTTGTGGTCCAAACAGTCTGACTTGAAAACATGAACCATAATGTACTAGAACCAGATTTAACTGCACAACTAGATCAAAATGCAAAAAAATAATAATAATAAAAAGCTAAAAAATCTTAAGACATTTCTAGATCATATCATACACCTACCTTACATCAAAATAAGCTTACAACAATAAAAACTGAAAGTTATTGTTTGGTAGACAATTTGAGAGATGTGGGCTCTGGAAGGGTGCTGGAAAGTGACATTAACTGTCAATAAGAGATGAAACCATTGAAACATAGATTGTCAAAGCACAGTAATAACACATATTACCTAACCAATAAAATAGCACACTGACTAAAATAATAAGGCCAATTTAGTTAAGGCCTTTTCTTTTCAATCTTCAACGGGGCTAGTGGGCTACACAATTGGAGGTGGCCCATCCCCAAACCCATGACCTCTCCTCTCAACCCTGGTGAAGCTGGGATTCGATCCCAAATCTCTGCTACAACCAGCTAGAGACCTTACCAACTGAGCCAGTCGGCCTATTTAGTTAAGGTTAAACAGCTTAATTTATGGACTGTAACCTTCAACGAGGCTTTTGCGGGGCAAAACATTGTGGAACGTCACACTCTGGAAGTCAAAGACTTCATTAGCTTCAAGAAGTGCATGCTGCCAAGGAAATGCCTCGGGTTTCTGATGCTAGTGAAGCTACACAACCATGACTAGTAATCAAAATGTCAATAAATTTGAGCCTCACCATGAAACCAGTAGGCTTACTCCTTCAGAGGCTTCCTGAACAAAGTAATTAAGTGTCTCCAAGTTGTTAAAGAACATCTACATATGCATTCCAGAATTAAGTGAGAAATACAATAACTTTTAAGGTAAAAAAAAAAAGGCCTTTACCTCAATGTTGGAGGCTGACACCTTGAAGTATATGGGACATGCTTCACACCCTTAAGGTACCTTTACTTAGGGCATGCACCCCATACAACAATTGAATATAGGGATCTCACAACAAAAGTACAGAGAAAAGAGGGTTTGAAAATAAATTTAATCAAAATCCTGCAACAAAAAAGTCACAAGAAAGAGACACTCATCATCATTGCTAGGAATCTAATTCCTTTGATTGAGATACGGTGTGACAAAGTATCACCAATTCACCATGGTGACAAAGTATCACCAACTCCCATTTAACAACCATTCCCCAGAAAAAAAAAAAAATCAAAATTTTACAATTCTGCATAAAATAAACCACCAACAGCCAACAACAATCACACCTTCCCCAGGTAAACCCGGCCTCAGAACATCCTCACTGCCTTGCCTTCTTTTTTTTTTTTTCAGCAAAGATGAAAAAACATATCTGAAGCAAACAGTGCAAATCCACCCTTAATTATATTCACCCAATTCCCCACCCACAAAGAACAAGCACGCCCTTTACAAACCAGGTCTTTGTGTTTACCGTTTCAAGACTTCAAAGTTCAAACATCCATAAACTATAATTTATTCAAGAAAAACCCCTCTCCAATCCTCCCCTTTTCCAATTCCATCAACATTTTTATTGCAGACTCGTCACCACCTAAAAAGAATAGACCCAGCTTTTTTCCACTGGCCCTTCTTAGTTCCTCTTCTCCATGGTCTTAGATTTGCCAATAAATGTCATTTGGAGAAAGCAGTAGTACAAGTGAAATATGGACCTGGGGAAGAGAGACCTTTGGTAGGAGTATAAATGGTTTAGAAATAATGCTATAATGGGCCAACTATGCTACAAAGCTCCAGTACTTCAGTACGTGATGCTGAGAGGACCTGCTTGATCCCCTTAGTCATAGGACCATGCTCACAGAAAATTGCATCTTGTTCATGGGCTCCAAATATCACATCATCCAAATTGGCTAAATTTCCATCACATCATCCCGTTGCTGTCTGTCAAATTTCTCGGCTCCCTGTATATTAATGCAAATTTTGGATGCCAAAACTACAAGAAAGTCGTTACTTCCCCAAACATCCAGTCAGTGTGGCTTTTATGGGTGATTAGCATTATGTGGTAATCTGATTGATGCATGGATCAACCCTCGGGTTGTCTATTAATTCAATGTTTTGAAAATCGAACCAGATCGTAGGATCTAGAGAAAGATATGCTATTGAGTTTAAGCAAAATGGCAAAGAAAGGAAGTAAACAACTGATAAAAGGCCAAACCTGAAATAAGCCAGACGAGAGAGACGACTAGAAAGGAAGAAAGGCCATAAACGGCAAGAATGGTGGATTGAGGGAGGAAACCAGGCACGAAATCCGGGAGATGTAAATCTCTGGGGACGTACGGGTGGGAGGTGTCAATTCCCGCCATTTTCTCTTGCTGGGATTCCAAAAGGTAAACTTGGCCTTCCTTGGATCCGCTCTTGTAGCTGCAACTACAGCAGTTTTAGCACTTCAAAAACAAATCAAGCGAGCGAGAGGGAGGGAGGGAGATAGTAGAGAGCCCAGACTCACTGAGTCAGAGGGGAAGCAACTTTGTTCTTAAAATGTACAGTTCAGTTCGCTTCAACCAGCTGTAGTGTTTTCAATTTCATCTACTATTAAATAAAAGGGAAAATTCCGATTAGTAAATTGTGTAATTTGGGCCTCGTGCCACTCAACAAACTTTTAAAGACAAACATCGTTAAGTGGTATTTGAAAACACATAAATGCATTTAGGGTGATATCTAATTCTTTTTATCAATCATCCAAATATTAAGCATTTGGGATTATTCATTTTTTATCTAACGTGGATTACTGATAAATAAAATTAAATGATATTTAAAAGATATTTATGTTTTTTCAAATGCTAATTAATGACTGATTAACGATAAGTATTAAATTGATCTATTTTGAAAGTTTATGTATTAAATTATTGTATTTTAAAATTTAAGGATCAAAATGGTAGTAGGACTAAATTATAGTATATTAATCTAGTATTTTCTCAAAAGAAAAATTGTATTTTATTTATTTCTTTCTTTTTCGATTTTTACTAGGAATGGTAACGGGGCGGGTTTGGGGCAGGGATCATATTCTCCATTCTCGACCCTAATTCTGAAATTAACCCTCATTCCCATCCCTAATCCTTGTTGCTGATAAAATTTGTCCTCCATCCCCAATCCCCGCGGGGATGGGTTCCCTGCGATGACCTAAATCCCCGAAATTTTTTTAGATAATAGTATTGAAAATAAATTTACTTAAAATAAATAAAATTTTTAAATTATATATTTTGATATATATAATATAAATAATATATATATATATATACATAATCGGAGTCGGGGTGGGGTGAGGACCATAATCCCCATCCCCGACCCTGACCCTGATTGGGGATTTCTATTAATTCTCGTTCCTGTCCCACCAAAATAATTCCCATCCCTGACCCCATTGAATCGGAAAAGTCGAGTCCCCATTGGGGATGAAAAAAATTGTCATCCCTAATTTTTCCCAAACAAAGTACTAATATAGCCTATAATACACCATAGACACCGGATGGGGGCCGGGCCGGCCAGCGGGTACCCTGTCCGCGACCCGTAAGGCCGTAACTCCGTAAGCTGTAACTTAACCCTACACCAGCAGGAGACTTGGCCTTTGGGTTGGGCTGGCAACTTCAGCGGGCTTGGGTTGGGCTAATTTTTCAAGTTAGGTGTCCGACTTGCAGTCTTGCACCCGTTGCCCCTAGGGCCCCTACAGCTAAGGTCGTTTGAAAAGGTAACGTTAATGGGCCCATCTCAGAGATCAACTCTACCAAAAAAAAAAAGGCATTATCGGTCATACTCAACCGTTTGATTTGATTAGTAGCATTTGAAATGAATCTAGGGCTTTTAACGAGTCGGGTCTGGTTTCGAATAACATCTTAAAAAATTATTCGAAAACGGAACTCTATTACCGGTTTTTGAATCGACAGTTCGATCATCCAGTTTGAATAAATGACCTGTTTTAATAAATAAATTAATTAAAAATAAAAAATAATCAAAAACCATTGAATTGATTGACGATTCAACCACTTGAATTAATAAGTTATTGACATTTTCAATAGTTTTTAGCCAAAAACTGGGTTTGAAATAAAATGAGGTTTTTGGACCGAACGGTCCGACTGTCTGAATCAATAGTGGTTCGCAAACCTTGCCAAACAAAGTCTATCAGTTCCGAAACAACCCAATTATTAATTAGGATAAGATTATAGACCCAGAACCTTCTCAATTAATTAATTGGGATAATTGGCTATTATCTAATTAAACCTGATTGTATTGATATTTAAAATTATATTGACAATTATGTTAATAAATCGAATGTTTTTAGCCAAAATCATATTATATTAAGTATATCTTTCTTAAACATAAACTATAACAAAAATTATAAATCTCTATATAATATTACCTCAATAATTGGAATGCAAGATGATATAATCTGTTCAATCAATTCGGTTTGGTCAGGTAGAACGTAGAACATACACCCATTGACAGCCTTGGATGAATGGAGCAAAATATTAAAAATGTCAGTGCCACTTGAATATAAAATGCGCTAGTCGAAATCAAAGAAGGGTAAAATACTTACACCTCCCGTGGTTACGTTTCAGTCAAATGCTTATACCACGGGAGAGAAGTTGTGCATATAAAAGATAAATATTTCATTTACAAGCATCGAATACAGTTTTGCTATTAGCATGGGGTATTTGGGTTATCTATTAATTTTATGCATATTATTAGTGGGATCCGAGTGATGTATGGGATGGGGCATTTGTTTCTGTCCCTTGCTCCTGTAGTTAAGACACTTTACTTCATCTTGATTCGTTTCATCATCGTGGTGGGGTGGATTCGAGGTGAGACACCTATTTTCTGTGGGAGATGAGGAATCCCCAAATTTTCTGTATCCTTAAGTGAGGGATAAATAAATATAAGTATAGTTCATAATTTATAAATAATAAAATATGAAAAAAAAAATATTTGTTTGATGTCTTAATGTAATTTTTTTTTTTTTATGGTTTGTTTGGTATATTAATGATCCATTGACAGTGGCATGCTTTTTAAATCCTGCCAAGGTTATTTTCAAAAACCCGATTATCACCCCAAAAAACAATGTTATAATCAAGAAAACTACATAAGGAATTTTAAACTTTGAACTTTTTAAATTTTCGTTTACATACTTGTAGATACGTACTGAAAAATTGTCCACAACTTAAACATGTGTATCTAAAAACGAAAATAAATTTGATTGCTTTTGACAGTGGCATGCTTCCTTACACAACATCATAAAAATAAAATAAAAAGCAGATGAGTAGTGTTCCTGTTCCTGCCCCATTAATAATACCATCCGGGTTGTGCTTAGAATTTTTCAAACCGGCCGGTTCTGCTCATTATATACTGAATTTGAATTGAACGACCCAAATGGTGGAACTCACCTTTGGATAAATAATAAAAAACAATGGGGCCGGGGATCAGGGATCGATGTTATGGTCGAGGTGATGTTTAAGATTGTCTGAAGGGTGAAGCCTGGTCGAGTCAGTCAGAGTATGGAATTGGCAACGTGGGTAGGTACAGAGGTACTGGGTAGAGAGCCTTCAGTTCACATAATCACATGGGCTGTTTTAATTAATTAAATAGGAGAGGAAATCTCAATTCTCATGCATGTTACAAGACCACACACTTGGAGTAAGGGTGCCTAATCTGGTCGTAGTTGGCCAGTTGAGCCACACACTTGGCTGCCTTATCTAGCCCAACAGCTACAGCTGACAAGTATTCATTGTCCATGATTATTGATCCAACTACTCCCCTCCTTGTGTGATCTGATGCAGATATGGTCAGTCTTCCCTCTAGACTCAGGACAACTCTGCCTTTCTCTGACAGCTTGTAATTCACCTCTATCTCTTCCTGCGCATTCTTCATGTTCAAAGCTTGATATCCTTTTCCACCCATATCTTGTTGTAGTTGTTGCACCACAGAGTAATGCCGCCTTCTCCTTTTCTGTATATTAATTATATATATTAGACCCGGCCATGAAATTAAGCAACTATATGATGACCCCCTTATATTTAATATTTTATACTACACTGACATCAATTCAACTTGCAACGTACAGATCGATCATCATCACAGAATAACGTAACAGCACTACGTACGTACATCATTATTCTCAGGGTGTATAAATATAAATTGATCACTCAAAATGATATAAAGTAACCATAGGTAGCTAGCATTGTAAAGCACAAATTGCTGATCTTGAGGTGTTTATAAAGTGATCATTCTCAAAGCATTTTCCAACAACTTTAATTTGTTGAAAGAAATCTCTGAACAACAAGCAAGTAGTAGCTAGAGATGGAGGAACCACACCTGCTGGCGACTTGTATTGTCTAAATTTTGGCTTTGCGGAGGGAGTATACGGATTGGGTGGTCTACAATGACGGCATTCTGTGTTTGAATTATTGAAGCAAAACAAGAAATAATGGTTAAATCCTTGATGACGATGAAATCGTTAATTATATGCATGATGGGCATGGGCATGGGCATGGGATATTGTCTCACTTGCGTACGTTTAAGAGAAGAGCAGTTTGAAGGGCGTAATGCTGCCTGAATGTCACAAAAGCCATCTGTGATTCGTCTTCATTTCTGCAATAATTATATTCCACAACTAGCTAATTAAAACCATGATCCAATGTATATTTAATTAATTTTATGCACTGGAAATAAATTAAAACAGATACAGAATTATACCTCACTAACTCGATTTTGTCAACTGCTCCACAGTAGGAGAAGAAACTGAAAACATCTGCACAGGTTACTATAGGGGAAAGGTTGAGCACTGATATTGTCAGATGTGACGCACCCATATCAAAAGCCCAAATTAAGCTCCCTACTCCCACTTCCACTGCTACGTTCGCCTTCGTCCTCCAAAAACTATCTTTGCTTTGCTTTAAAGGGAGGAAAGAGTAGTTGGGTGAGTGGCCAGTGGTGAGAATCCACTTCCAACAAGGCACAGAAGCCAATCAGTAGTCAAGTGAAATAGTGAATTAAAAGTGGGAATAAAGGAGTTTGACAAAGTAAAAAAGGCATTCCCCCNCCCCCCCCCCCTTTGGCTTTAGTTAAAGCGGATACGTGCATGATCCATCATAAGATAAGACAGAAAGAAACCCCGGCATCCAATATTTTTAATCTAGCTAATGCCAATGCCTGCATATGTACACACATATACATCAATCTCATCATCCAATTCCAAGCAATCGACAGCAAGCACTTGGTGGTTTAATTTTAAAGAGGTCAGTATCGATATTAATTTTGGGTTGTTTGCGTTCCAACTCACAGTATTATTCCAGATCAATTTACGCCAACACAACTTGAGAGAATCAAAATTGAAGTGACTTCTCATCATCACCATCTCTTATTTCCACAATCCACACATATTATTCGATTTCGCCTTCGAAAATGCGGTCCCATCCATCATTTCTATTTCACTTTTTTATACCAGCTCCAGAACGAGAAGCAGTGCACACTGCAAAACATAAACATGAAAAAGAAATTAAAATAGTGAATGCACTTAAAAGTGAAAAGACCTTTATAACTGTCTCCACCTCCGGGTTTTACCTTTATAATAATCAGTTCCGACCAGAAATGGGAATTCAAACCACATTTTCGCTTCACCGATCGACGACTCCTATTATATTATATAGCGCCAGGCGCCAGCACACAGCATTCCAATAGACAGACAGGGTTTCGCCAGCTTTAGTGGCCATTTGATGATTCTTTCTTTGTTTAAAAGTTAAAAGATTAAAAAAAACCGATATGAGTGGCCATTTGCCGGTTCGGAGACATCTAACCTCTCATTGGATCAGTCAAAAAACCCACCTAGTATGTGTGTGTCAAATTTATATATATATATATAAAGAAAAAAAAAAAACACTTTGACGGGCGCCTGAAACAATTACTTCCAAATGACTTCCACCCTTATTTGGTCTGCAATCATTTGTTAATGCACCAGGTTAGAGGCGGCTTGGTTTGCAACAGTTTTCTTTGTACTCGTCAGTCAAGATTTCATATGCTTCACAAATTTCTTGAGAGTTTTCTATAGCAATGTCTTCACCTGTAGAAGTCGGCATTTATGGAGTTCCGATTTCTTCTTCTTTCAATCTATGTTAAACAAAGAAAAGGGGAATAGGGTTTTACAGACAACATTAAAATTTGCAATGGAATATAGTCTTGCGGTTAAAGCTTTCACTTTTCCTTTTTATTTATTTTTAAATATTAAAAAGCAAAACTAACAAATTTAAACTGACCGTTTAAATGGCTCGCATATCTAAGTTAGAGTTGTATACAAATTCTAACGTATCCCAATTTGATTGGGAATGCACACCCCTGCACAAAGGAAACCGAGTGCAGGAAATCCCAACTCCACTTTGATGAAGGCTGCAAGTCAGGTTACCTGAATCGAAGAATTTCAACTACATCGGGCTCCTCTAAGATTCAGACCGATTGAGAATTTTTCCAACCTTTAATTTGTGGCATCATTTGCATGGCTTGGATTAAGATTAATTAATTTGGCTTGGAGCATTGGGGCATGGAAGTTCCACTACCCTTAAATCAACAGGTTAGCATGTCTCATTGCGTCCCACCGCCTGTTGATATCCTTCAAATAAACATCGATAGCAGCTGCAGGAGCGAATGTGATTATTAGAAACCACAGAGAATTTGTGTTTGGAAGAGAAGAGCCAATCCTCTGGCCGTTGCACGCCGGAAGAAGTGGAATGAAGCTTGGGTCTGTTTATTATGCCTCAAAATTCGCTCTTGATTTGGCCGGGACCTCACAACATTATGATTGAAATCGACTCTCTCTCTCTCTCTCTCTCTCTCTCTTATTCATCTCCCGCCCGTCAGTGGATTCCTTCCTTTCCAGTTCATCTTAAGTGGAACTGCAATAAAGTTGCACACCGGCTTGCCAAGTTTGCTTGCAGTGCTCAATGCATTTAGACGTGGCCTTTAAAAACACAATTCCTTCATGAATAAAATATCTTTAATATTATCAATATCAACCAGATAAAGGGCAAAAGCATCTTCAAAAGTAGGACACAGACACTGACATTTTAGGGCTCAAGAAGCGCACAACAGGATATGCCAAGTATTTTCTTCAAGGTTTCCTGAAAGAAAAAACCGTGCAAACACTCTTAAGAGTAAAGAGCTAAGTATCCAGTTGCACATCAACATCCCCTATGAATTTAACATACATATATACAACATATAATCCCAATGTGCAGCTGGATGTTGCGCTCTCAGAGTATTCGCAGGTTTTTGCTTTTTAGGAAATCCAGGCTTCCCCCTTACAGCCTTCCCCTTGCATACAGCAGGTCGCCTTCCCCTTAGTTTTATATATTCTATTAAAAACCTTGATTCATATTTGTGCTAAGTCTTCACTATCACTACCCTATTGTCATTTCTGTTTCCTTGAGTTAGGGTTTCTTCTCTTGTCATGACCCCCCAGTTCAGCAGCACGCTTGGCTGTCTTGTCTAGTACACTAGATAGCCAAGGTACACCCGCCGAGAAATACTCGTTATCCATGATTACTGATCCAACCCTCACTGCACTCTGCTCAGCTGCAGATATCGCCAATCTTGTCTGTTCTCCCAGCATTCTGCCTTTCTCTGAGAGTCTGTATTTCGCTTCTAACCCATCCTTGGTCCTGTTCAAAGTTTCGTATGCATGTGAAGCTACAGATTGCACAACAGACTGTACCATCGGAAAGACACCTTGCCACTGATTCTGTAAATTTTAGATCTTCATTAGGCCATGGTTCATGAAAGCAGCTTCTTCATTTTATGAACACCCACTGTAGTATATCATTCCAAATCAAATCTATAACCATAATGACCTACCAGCACCCAAATATCAATTTACCCACAGGAGTACATGCTCTTGATGAGGATTGATGACCATACTTGAGATAGTCAGCCAGAACTATAGATTAGGCCTATAGCTAGTCTGACATGATATAAGAGTATAATCTTATTGGGCTGAGCTTCCCTATCTATTAGATTAGGCTTGCATGGAATCAGCAGATAATGAAGATATATAGAACCTAAAACATGATATCTAAGTAAAGAGCTAGTTAACATTAATCAGTCGTAAACATGATCTAAAGCAAGATCAAGACCTACAGTAAATGACAGAGAGAATTAAGGTAGTGAATAGCATAAACAAGAAAAAATTAGACACTACCTGGCTTCCATTATTCGTCCTATCAGAAATGGGAGTTGCTAAATTTTGTAGAGGTAGTACACGAATTGGATAGTCTACGATGACAACACCCTGCATACAATAGCAACACATGAATGCTTACAAGAATTACAATAACAATTCACCCATTAGATTTGATCAGCTCAAACCTGTTGACAAAAATTTTCAAAACAAAATTAACAAGGGGAAGTAGTTACAATTTACAAAAGACTGGCAACAGAAAAAAAAAAAAAAAAACATTCACCATATTCATAGATATAAGAACATCAAACTGGTGTAGTTTTATAATTCAGGTAGGTTCAGTATCTGATTTCTTAAATGGAAAATCAAGCCTGGGTATTGATAAAAAGAAGGATGTAGCCTGGGCATCAATAGGCTAAAGCCAAAAAACAAAGAAAGAAAACAAAAGGTAAAGGAAAAAAGAAGGGTTTTGTAGGCATCAAAAGGTATGTTAGGCAATTAGTACTCTGCTTTAGCAATTTATCCAAGCTAGCCCATGGATATCGAACTGCAATATCATAATAAATGGGAATTACTAAAATCTTTTCTTTAGGAACATAAAGAACACCATAATTGCCATCCTGACATGTTAGCTAGCAATCAATATATTCACAAAGGGATACAGATACAAGCATTGCTTTTTCTTCCCCCTAGTTAAACATTCATTTATAAGAAACCAAAGTGTTAAATAAGAATTTTATCATTTTTTATAATATTTTGCATCTGTTAGCAGTTACCACTTACATTTAGGAGAAGAGCAGTTTGCAGGGCATATGGCTCACGGAAAGTCACAAAAGCCAACTGTGATTGGTCTTCATTTCTGACAACAATAACATCTAAAGCCATCAAATATACCGCAAAAGCTTTTAATGGATAAAAAACAGTATAAATTACCTGAGCAACTTAATATCCTCAATAGTTCCACAATAGGATAAGAAACTATTAAGGTCAGCAACAGTAACCTTGGGGGAAAGGTTGAAAACCTGTATGGTTAGATCTAGGGTACCCATAGCCCACAGCTTCTTCTACAGCTTACTTCCCAATCCTACATTTGATTTCCAATATGCAAGAAGCAGTTATAAGAGGAGGAACAATAGCGTTGAGAATCCAAATGTGTGATAAGGTATTGGAGAATCACTTTAAGTTGGGGAATAAAGGAGTTTGAAAGGCAATTCCTCTTTACCTATTTCAAACTTTTCTCTCTACTTGCTTTTTCTTGGGCTGCCAAAGTGTCTCAAACAGAACCAAGTGCAAAGACTTCAAGAGTCAAAATAAGTGCCCCATAGCTCTAAATAGCTTCTAGTTCTTGACTGTTATGGAAAAAAAGAAGGGGTCATTCCTTGGTGGGATGACAAAACCTTGGGCTGCAAGTGTAGAATGCCAGTTTGAGTCTCCCCTCCCAAGAAGCCCTGGATAGCTAGAGAGGGAGATCACCCCTAATAAAAATTACCAGAAACTCTATGTTGAGTAAAATCTCACTGTGCAAACAGGATCTGGACATCAGAATACCAAATGTGCAAGTTGTTAAGAAAGATTTAGCATCATACCACTCCAAGGTATTTTTCTGTGCATAAAATGTATATCTGAAGATTTTGCAAATTGTTAAAAAAGTTTTTTTGGCAGCTTTGAGGAGTAATTATGCAGATGTAAACACACGATTTTTTTTGCCACCAAAAAAATTGGACTTTGAAATTTGAATATTAAAATGGGCATTATTACTATGTTATAAAGTAAAATTAAATAACAGTCTTCATGCCATTGTTTTTCATTAGAGAAGAAAAAATGGCTTCTTGATTAACAACAAGGAAACAGAATAACATAACTGAAACTAAGAAAAAGAAAACCTTTAAGTGTGGTGCCTTTACTTTGATAATATACACCTTGAAACCATATAAAGCCCAGAAAGAAAGAAAAACAAGAAATATAATTTCTATACAAACAAGATACAAGAATAATAGAAATTAAAAAGAGGAAAAAATCATGTTCTTCCTAACAGACATCCTGATGCATTGCAACCCCTACCCACAGTTCTATGAGAGTATTGAACTCGTCTCCATCATTTCTGCATCATCCTCATTCATTGAAATCTTACTCCAACCAGGACTTCTCAAGGATAAAAACTTGGTCCGATCAAAACCTGCTCCCCTAAATCCTGTCATCCTTGATGACACCATAGGCATTGCTAGAACTGAAGATGCACTGATTGAGTCCTCTCCTAGACCTAATGACAGCATACAAGCAGCCTGCAAGAATTTTCAGAGATAAATGTTAAAACGTCCTTAACAATTGAGGAATTAAAAGGAAGGAAAAAAAACAAAACTCCACCAAGTTTGCCAGACCTTTGCCTTGGTTATTATAGATGTAGCTTTTGTCATCATTGCTTTCCCAAATGATCTAGTGTCTCTAATTTCTGTTTCTTCACAAGGCAGCTTCACCATCCTGTAAATATTAGAAAAATTGGGAAAACCACATAGAGACATCTCACTTGGCCATTAAAATGACAATATAACCTATTAAAAACCGAAATGACAGAACAGAATGTTGGTATATTAAATGTCTTTAAGGTCAGATACATCCTGAAGGCTTTAAAGTCCTTGGTCACCTGGGAATTAAAGAAGCTAAAGAACTGTCCTCATCCTTCAACAACATTTTCAAGAGGACTCCAATATCAGAAAATTTTAATAGCCTAACTGATGCTTTGGCAAGGGAAAGGATCACAAGACTAGAACTGGTTTTGGGGGCATCAGGTCAGGGGGCTAACACTTGAGATGTATTTGTAGTATTCTTATAGTTGTGCCTTGTCAGCCATGTGTTTGTAATTGTCTCTAAATGCTGGTACTCTAGGGTCTTTTTCTATCTATAATCTCATTAGTAGAAGTTCTTTGATTGCTGTTTCTGGTCAATGAAATTATAATCCCATATTCTCATTAATTTTATGAAATTATATGTTATGCAGTTCGTCTACTAAAAGATCTAACTATAATCTTTTAAATTTAGATATACAACAAGAAACTAAATTGCTTATTTCCATGTAAAAATTAAAAAAAAATAACTATAGAAAATTATATTTTAACATTTTGTCTTGAATCTTTTTCCCCATGCCTCCATTCATATTTTGAAACTTGTCCACAATTTTTTGGGTTTCCAGGCACTTCTTTGATTAAAAAAAAAAAATCTTCTATTTATATGCACTAAAGCTTTACAGTTACCGATTAAAAAATTTGTCTACAATTTATCCACAAAAATCTTACAAACAGGAGATATATTTTAACCTGCAAGAGCTCTTCTTGGAGGAAATCCCAGGGAATGAGATCGGCAATCTGTACAAGAATTGTATCATACCTGTCCATATCAGTCACAATGCTTGAATCCATAGAAGACACCAAAGAAGAATCCTTTACTTCACCACCTAGGGGGAAAAACCATGAGTTACTCTCAATTGTTAATTTGTGCATGATCCTGCAGGAAAAACAATTGGAATTTTAAGTAAAAATACCTTTTGGTTCATCGGGTGCAAGCAAAGAAATTCCTATGAACACAGATATCATTCCTAGTATAAACATTGTTGTCCTGATGGCATCAAAGACCTGTTTAATAATCAGTAATAAGCTTGTCATCCTGACTTAAGAGAACCCTACAAGGTAAAAGATTGATATGTGCCCCAGGTTGACTTGATATTCTTGGAAGTAAACAAATCCTGTAAAAATGGAGAAGAAGGTCCAAGCAATCTGAAACATTGGGACAATAAGAATAGCATCAAATAGTGACAATCCTTCATTTAACCTTGCCATCTGACAAAGTACGGATCAAGTTAGTAGTTTGGAAAACTAGTAATTTCTAAGTAGGTTTGGAAATGTAATATATATCTGAAACCTTCATATAAAATGAGTTGATTATGCAAATCATTACCCAAAATCCAGCTGTACTAAGAAATAAAAGAAGCATGGAGTATGTGAACCAGCTATGCAACTGATAACCACTGGACACGGTTAATCTTAACAAATTGGACCTGGAAAACAAGAATAAATAAATAAAGTATGAATATACAAATTCAACTCAACTTGGCCTTAATCCCAGCTATTTGAGCTTGCAACACAAATCCTGCCCTGCCATTGTGCTCTATSAAGAGCCATATTGCATGTGAAGCTTTATGAACTTTAGATACAAAAATAAGGAAAATTTAAGGTTGCTGTTTCATCATTATGTGAAAAAGGCAACTTACAAGGATTTTGCGAACAACACCGAGCATGATCCCACAGCACCAGAGACGACAGCATAGGAAAAAGGCAGCAACATGTGCCAATAGGAACTGAGGTCATTTACCGAAACAGCAAGCATAAGCTCTCCTCTCCTGTGTTTTCCATTTTTTATTGTTACAAGATCCATGTACGAAAATCTTGATAGTTTTTTTATGAATGATGTTAGACCATGGAAATCAAGCAGCTTTATCAAAGTAGCATGTGTACAGCTGATTCCATTAAGAAGATACATAAACAAAAGTGGTTCCCACCTGTAAATTGAATGATGAATAGCGACAATCAAGGCCAAAATGAGGCAATAAAGAAGGAAGATAATGTTACTGTACTTCTCTACCAATTGCTCTGGTGTATAAACTGCAAAAGAGAGAGAAAAAATGGATTTTTCATCAACTGAGGAATCCAACATTAGCCCATAATCCACATGAATATGGAAATTTGTTACATAAATGAATTTCCTACTAGGAGATTAACTACACTAAACATTTACTTTATTAGATGATAGTGACCATAACCTCTATCATTTTCTTGCTGATCAAAAAAAAGAAAGAGAAAAAAAGGAATAAAAAAAACTATCATATTCTTCTAGACAACAACCTTAATGGGGGAACATTGCAAAATCAGAAAAGTATAAGGATTTATGAACAAATTGGGTCAACTTTCACAGGGGATGTCAGTCATGGGACCACAATATGGCAGGTCAACTAGTTTCCATGTACACACCACAAGCACTGCTTGCATGCTGGTAAACATTTACTCTACCAAATGCAACCTTAGGTGTTCCATATTTTAGTTCTGCCAGTTTCTCTTAATTTTCTATGTACACGGTAACTTTGTTTTCTTTTTTTGTGCCATAAGTGGCTTGTGAGCAATATGGAATAAACAGGGTGTAAGATGCAACAATTTTTATCATTAAAAAAAAAATGCAACAAGCACTAGTGGGCATCACTAAGCACAGAAATGGGAGTTAACATGTACTCTCTCCATGGTGAGAATAACTACCAGGTGACTGGAGGTTGCCAAAAGCTACAAGAAAGATATTTCCAAGGACAATAAAAGCTGTGGCTACCAACACCCTGCAAAAGGACCAATCTTCATGATTACTGAAATAAAAAATGAAGCAAAGAGCCATAATTCTGGAAAGAACAAATTCTCGCTTTGATTTTAACATACTTGACAGTCACCATCTTGTTCAAAACAAAGTACGCAAATGCAATGTTTGATACAAACTGAATAGATCCCAATGCTGCAAGAAGTGACTGTGGGAAGGAAAATATGAAAAACAAAAGAAAAGAAACACTGTATTTGTCAGATTCCAGTTATCTGTTGAAACCTAAACAAGCACAAGGTGGTCCCCCATAAGAAAAAAATCCACCAAATTGATTAAAACACTAGAATCAAAATAAATTAATAAATAAATGCAAGGTTGCTCAAACTTTATTTATCCTTCAACCAACAGGACTAGTATATTTGACACCGACCTGGGCAGCATATCCAAAGGAAATGAAGTTTAGGCAATTCCCTAGAGAAAAAAAAAGAATACCTGCATGCAAAAGACCCAAATATTTATAATTAATTTCAATAGTTTCAAATGGACCATTTGGAAACTCAGTATGATCCTCTACAGTGTTTTAAAAGCAAGAAAGATAACTTAAGCACAAGGAGTTCCTAAAGCTTGGAGCACAAGGCACCAGCCTGAACAAAGTAGGTGCACTTTTGAAAACGAAACAAGAGAAAACTTGTTATACGAAAATGTGCAAATCTAAATCCATCGTCCATACATAGGTGATAGGACTTTATTGTACAATGCTATATCTTTCATGTTAATAAAATATTTCAAAAAGCCTATTAGGTGAGTTGGTTAAAGTATAACCTTATTAACATGAAAGATATAGCCTTGTACAATAAAGTCCTATCACCTATGTATGGTCAATGGTTTAGCCAAATCTGGGGTGGATAGGGTCTTTTTGTATAGTGGGAATACTCTACCTATGTAAAATGGTGGGAGGGTTTTTGGTTGTTTTGTTTTTTATGGATTGGATTGGTCTTTACATCCTATGTAGGCTAAACTCTAAAGTGTTTGAACTCTAAACATCATACATATACCCTATTTAGTAAATTATATATTCAAAATCAAATTCAAAGTTGATTTATCACAATATAGCAACAAACCAGGTAGGATCACCTGGCTTCAGACGTGACACACCTTTTAAAACACTGAATCAGTAACTAAGGGGTCACTTAATAACTTACTGAACTGAAAAATTTATCGCTTTGTTTTTAGTGAAAAAGATTTTAAGGAGGTTGTGAAATCCTTAATGACTGAAACTGAAGTTGGGTATACAAAACAATAAGTCTTTCAGTTCAGCAACTTCAGCTGTTATCAAACAGCCCCTAACTCTTAAAAAATTAAGCACCATTAGCCTGAATATTACCAACTCTCCAAGTCTGGAAGTATATGATTGGCTTCAGGGCAATCTTTCCATTGACTCCATCATTGTCTAGCATAGAAAGCCTTTCTCTCTGCAAGAAATTTAGTTAGAATCATAAACACCTGAAACATGGCCTCCATCATTAAAAAAAAAAAAGATAAAAAATAAATAAATAAAACTTAAGACAACAGCTTTTAAACTCATCAGAATGACTCAACACTAAGCAGTACAAAAAAAAAAGTCAAGTAACTTCCACTTCACCAATACCGAGCGTCAAGAGAAGAGTTTAACTGTACTAAGCCTGCTGGAGACATATCCAGATTAAATGAGGTAGTACCTGATTATGACCCAACTTTAGAAGATTCGTCCCAAAGTTTATGGCAACACTACCAAAAAGGTTGATGAATGCTCCAACAACCCACTCCCCCATTGATTATGGATGTCAGAAAGCACCTTTCTGTAGTTGAAAACCACTCTCAGCCTTAGTGCAGTTCCTGATTGCCATGTAACCATGAAGCAGTGGCACGAGTGGAAAGTCAAAAAGTCGTCCTCGGCCCATTATCAGGATTAAGGAGACCCTTCAAGCAACAATTTGCATTTGAACAGGAATTTGTTCTGATGCCTGCATCGCTTGTAGTGGTCAGATCAAAATTCGTCCCATTAGCGGGACAGGCCATTAAGTATATTACAATATCAATTTCTCTTATTACCATCTTTCCACAAATCATAATACGCTCTCACTCTTTCAGTAATAACTGAATTGGATAAAAAATTACACAAATTTCACAATCCAACCATACCCAAATATCTTTCGGATACAATATTAATAAGAAAGATCTAGTAACTATTAATAAGAAATAAAGAAACATTTTCTTTGGCAATGCAGGATAACAAAAATGGCAGTAGAAGCTACAGCTTGACTATCATTTCAAAGGACAAAAGAATCATTTTAGTTTTTTATTGATAAAAGAACAATAACGTTATAGGTAGATCTACTTTGCAATATCTAATTTATCAGATCCGCAGGTAACAGGGATTTCAGCAAAAGCCACATCAGAAAATGACAAAGAAGCGATGATTCAAGATATATATTTTAAAGCAAACAAAAATGCAAGATCCAGAACAAGCGTTAAGCAGCCTTGCTTCCACAAGTGTAATTACAGTTTACACAGGTAGCAAGATAAAGATCTCCGAACCCTTGATGGCTTAAAATGTAGGAATCAACAAAGAACCGATCGGTTTCTCGTGTAGGAAAAAAATGAAGTATAATGCAGAGACAACTTGCCTTGAAATTGAATGTGTCGGTGAAGTCAAGACAGCAGAAGATTGAAGAACCAACTTATGGAGCGAATAGAGTGGTTTACAAAAATTACGGAGCGATAGAACGAAAGCAAAAATCTGGAAGGCAGAAACCTAAATTTAGGCTGAATGTCATAAAACAATCGTGTCTGAGAGAGAGAGAGAGAGAGAAGTACCAACCGCATTCCCCGCCGTACTCAACCGTGGGACGGTATATTCCCTCTATTTCTTCTACCCTCTCGTATACATAATTAATTTGCTTATTATTAGTAGTAGTATTTCAGCTTGCTTTCTAACAAAGAAAGATCTCCCTATCATCGCTATCGATCGATCCCGATCCCGATCCCGATCCCGATTAACTCATTGAGCATTTATTTTTTATACATATTCGATTAGGTTTAGATTAATCCACAGAATAATGAGATAATTAATATAGTTTATTCCAACAAGTTGTCCGTCCGTTTTTCAACCGACGAAAAAAGTTACAACCAGTCAACGTCAAGGCGTCAAATCAACTATGCCGAGTTTGGGACCCCACCGACACTTTTTCCTGCACTTACTTCCTTGCACTCTTGGTATCCTATATTTATATTTTTTTTCGAAAATGGCATCCTACATATTTATAGGGAGTAATACGGAAGTACCCATAGTACGGATTTGTTCAATGCAGATTTCTGATTTATTATGTAGAACTATAAACATGTAAAAGGACCACCAACGCCCGTGAATTGGCATTAATTCCGAACTGGCATCCTATCCCAACAGTATTTTAACCTTACAAATTTTGACCCTGGCCTGATCAATCTTCTCTCATGGGAGAAGTATAAATCAGCCCAGCTCAGAATTTACTAGACTCAAAGTACAGAGGGAATTCAGAATTCTGCATCGTGTCTCCGTACTTTTCCCTTTATACTAATGTCAAGATTAATGAGGTTAAGATTTAAGATTTTTTTATTAAAATACGCTTATTAGCAAAAAATATAATTTGAACCATTATTTATATTAAACTAATGGGTATTTTGCGATGCACAGGATGCGGCACTCCACTCCAATCCATTCTACAGGAACTAATCTCTCCTCAATAAGTTGGCTTCCTAAAGGTCATGCAAATCACAAACATCATTCTATTAGTGAGGTAAATTACTCACTCCATGGACCTATAAAAAAAGGGGAAGGGTTACATTGCCTTGAAAATCGATATATCTAAAGCCTTTTACAGAATGGGATGGACATTCATTGAAAATGAAATTTCCAGAGAAATGATCCAACCTCATTTCTCAGTGTATCTCTACTCCATCCTTCTCAATCAAGATTGGGTGGGGGAGTCTTTTCAACATTTCAATTTGAAAAGGGGCTTACGTCAAGGCGGTTCATTATCCCCATACCTATTTAACATTGGAATTGAAGTATTCACTGCTCTCCTTCAATCGGCTTCACACAATGGTTGACTTGAGGGAGAAATAATCTGTAAGAATGGATCTCCCATCATCCATCTGATGTTTGCAGATGACTGCGTCCTCTTCTGTAAAGCAAAAATGAACTGGATAAAGGCTCTCAGTCGGATCATTCAACAATTTGAAGAGATTTCAGGTAAAAGAGTGAATTATTCAAAATCTCAAATCTTGTTTAGTAGTTCAGTTCCAAGACAACATAGGAAGACCAATTCACACATTCTCAAAGTAAAGAACTCCATGGTATGATCAAAATACTTGGGCACTAGAGTTCATCTTCAAAACAAGCACCACCTGTCGCCCCAAGATGTAGTCAACAAAATAAGTGCAAGAACAAACTCATGGAGTTCAAAACTCCTGTCAATCCCAGCATATTCCATGATGTCTACGGTCTACCCAAATAAAGTCCATGACAAATTGGACAAACTATCCAGAGACTTCTGGTGGCAAGGAGATGAAGGCAAGCAAAAGAAGCACACTATAATATGGAGGAAATTATTTTATCCGAAAAGAATGAGAGGCCTAGATTTCCGTCATTGGTCCTCAATGAACCAAGCTCTCTTTGAAAAACAAATCTGGAGATTACAACAATCACCCAATTCACTTTGGAGTAAAGCAATAAAAGAAAAATATTTTCTTAGTGGTGGCTTATTCTCAGCTAAAAAGAAGAGAACCAGTTCGTTGTGGTGGAAACAGGCCCACAAACTCCTACCCTCTCTGAAAACAAACTCACTTTGGCTGATCAAAGACGGTCACTCCATATCGTTCTTCAGAGACCCTTGGGTCCCCACTATAACTGGAGGTACACCAAGTCCTCTTCACCACAACTCACAACATGTTGGTCATCAAAAAGTTGTTGACTTCCTCATTGACGGACAATACTGGAACCGTGAACTTCTTGATGAGGAATCGGTCAACAAAATTCTCGCTCTCCACCCAAACCCACAACTAAGTTGGGACACTCTAATCTAGAAAAGGAACAATAGTGGAGACTACACAGTCAAATCAGCATATCGAGCTTTCCTCTCCATGAATCCAACATCATCCTCCCCACACTTCAGTTGGTCAATACTATGGACCCTCAAAATACCTTACCGTTGCATTTTGTTGACATGAAAATTACCATGGGAGGGACTGCTAACAAAGGACAAGTGTAAACAATGGCTCAAGGAGGAAGATCTCTGCACTTTCTAATAACAAACATAGAAACGAGTTGTAGGCCCAATGAAAATTACGATGGGAGGGACCGCTTCAGTAGTGGCATGAGCTATATACTTCGGGCTCGGGCTTTTTATGAGGGCCAAGCTCGGGCTCAAGTTGTAGGCCCGATGATCGGATCGGGCTCGGGCTCGGGCCTTAAAAAAATCTGTTAATGTAAAGTGAAAGCCCGACCTGACCCATGAACAGGTCTACTAGTAAATATATATTGGTGATTTATTACCTTTCAACTTAAAGACTTGTATCGAATCTTCTTACTCTATAACTTCTATTTATATTTTCAATTTATTGTGCTAATTGAACCATTACTTGCTTAGAAACCTATTAGATTAATTGAGCAGCTACTTAACCAGGATTTTAGGTTCATTTTCCACCAAATTGCTTATTTGTGAAAAATCATTGACTTGACCAACAACATGGTGACCTGCTAATCAAACCATTGAATCATTTGATTTGTTTAGTAGGGTGGTGGAATAGACACTAATTTTCTTTTTTCTAATTTTTGTATTCCATTTCCATCATTTAACAAACATGATGGTGGTTTCACTGTTGAGGCAATTTTAAATTTTGTATTCCATTTCTATTATTCATAAAAAGTTTTCTTATTTATCGTACCTAAAAACCGGTTTTATTTCCAAGTCAATTTTGAATGCACAAGTTTTTATACTATTAAAATGTTATTCGCAAATTTAATTAGTGAAATTTTATGATGAGAAACAAAAATATGTTAAACATATGATTCTATGAGAGAAAATGGAAGTTAACCTTAAATTTGTCTAGCTAAATACTCCATGCAATTTCAATTGCAACTCATTAAGTTTTTTGATTTATAAATGACTATTTAGACACATTGTAAGTTATCAAGAAAAAAATCAGACATGTTGTGTAGTTATTTAAAAAGCATAAAAGTATTCCATTTTTATCCTCTTATACAATTCAGCAAATTAACAATGGAGGGCTCAATTTGTCATATTTTGCTCTCATTTTAAATAATTAACAAAATACTTAATTTGCCCCCAAATTCAAATATGAAAGTATTAGCACAAAGGGGGAAAACTACTTCTTATAGATTTTCTAGAAACTCTAGGGATTTTTAGTGATTTTCCCAAAAATAAAAGTCATTAATTTGTAAAGCTTTTCAAACGTGTCCTACATTTGCTCCCTTGCCTTCTCTTGGGCCTCAAAAGAATTGACTTTGAATTGTGTCAATCCTTTTGGGGGTATATTCATTTGAACATCATTTGAAATAATAGAATTGCATTTTATTTTTTTTCCATTTTTTTGCTCCTTAGGGCTACACAACAGGGGTGGCCCATTCCCTAACCCATAACCCCCAACCTAGGTGCAAGTGGGATTTGATCCAATAGACCTTACCGATCGACCAATAGGCGCCTTGTAAATAGAAGAACCATAGCCAAAACTTATTTGATAAGGATCACTCTTTCATCTTTAAAAATAGTTTTCAATTCCCAACCCTAAATTTTAGTCTTAAATTTAGTTGTGATTTTATTCAAAGCCTTCTTAACAATTATGCCTTGAATAATTAGGGCACTCAAGTGTTTTTCTTTGTTTGTTGACATTGAGATGCTCATAATCTTAGAAATCAATTTTTTTTAGAAAAAAAAAATGACTTTTTGAAATGGATATTTC